ATTTCCTACCTTAAAATAACATTCAATTTTAAAACTTAAAAATAAAAAACGTACAATTAAGTCAACGTTTATTAACTGATCTCTGGTTTAACAGTACAACACTCAGTATTTTAATTCCCTTAAAATTGTTTTCCAGTAACATACTTATAAACTTACTGTCATCTTTTTTTATTAAAAGGACAATCAAAACTATTCAATATTATGACCTCACAAAAAGAAAGTTGCCTGTGAAATGAAAAGATGCTATTACAAAGCCCCACTCATTAAAATTTTTTAAAAAGCAACTAACTACGTCAAAAATCTGACTCACTAAAACAAAAACAACAAAAAAAAAGCCTCAGAAAAATGCCAAGCCCATTGTTCTCAAAGCAATTCTATCTCAGTTGCAACTTGTTGCCACTTCCTTGACCCGGTAAACACCGAAGAATGCTATTTAACTAATGTGTTAATGTTGAAAATTAATGAGTAGTTAGGTGGTTTTATGAGTGCATGAAACATTATGTTTTATGGAGTATCCTAACAAACAGTTTTCGTTCCTCATTTATGCAGCAGACTTATTTGTAGAGCTCAAGGATAAGTGTCTACCTATAACGAGCAGCCACTGTATCAAAAGTATCCAATGAATCACATGTAATCCATGCTGAGTGTTTTATTCAAACAAAATGATGAAAAAAATCAACTTAAGGAAAATGATTACTTTTTCTTTCTTTCAAAAAGATTTATTGGCAAGAGCTCCTCTGAAACCTGAGACTGACCAAACAGAAAAGCAACTAGGTGTTGCTCATGGGTGATTATCATCAAAGAAGAGATACCCATGAATCGCAAGTAAGCACAGATAAAAGGGCTCCCCTGTGGCGGAGGCAGTTTATAGGTACCAACACCCAACTCCAGGTCCCTGTCTGCATCCCGCTTCCCCACCTAGACAGCAGCTGTCCGTCTAGGTCAGGCTTTACAGTGGCCCAAAAGAAGACCCAGGTCTACAGTGCCGAGCCCAATACAGGAGCCACTAAATCACATACAGCTATTTAAATTAATTACAACTTAAAATTCCGTTCCTCGGTCACACTAGTCGCATTTCAAGGGCTCAACAGTCACATGTGAATAGTGGCCATTGTACTGGATTGCACAGCCATACAACATTTCCACCACTGCAGAAAGTACTACGGGATGGTGCTACTGTAGAATCTATCTTTGCCCAAACAACGGGGCTATTTGTAAATATAATGAATGTACTTCGTAAATATCTAAGGATGTTTTACTGTGTGTAATCCTAACCATATTTATTTATGCCACTGGATATAAGGAATCCCTAGGAAGGAAAGATACTGATCAGCAACCCCATAAATTCATCCAACAATTTAGGACTAGGGCTATTTATAGTGTTAATGTCACTTACATACAAAAATGGAGTTTAACAAAGAAAAAGATTCCTTTGCAGTTTTTTAAGTATCCAGACTAAAAAATTACATCATTATTTTTGAAGTGAAAAATGTTTTTTCACATAGATGAACATACTCAATCACAAGTACATTTTCATTATACTTGATCACCATCTGCTGGTCATGTCATTAAACTGCACGAGCCAATGAAATGTTAGCTATAATGGGAGACATTTTTAAAGGACATACACAGTCCCAGCTTTCTGCCACAATGCATTCCTGGAAAACCACATCATAAAGAGGATCATTGTAAAGCAAATCATATTTTCCATAAGGGCAGGGCTATAATTAGATTCCTCATTCCAAACTAAAATCTGGCATCAAATAATCCATGGAAGGATCTCATTAAAGCAAGATGCAAAAATTATAGTCCTCTATAATCACTTAAAATAGGATAATTATTCTCCAAGTCCTTTCTTACAGGTATGAACAAATTTCTTTCTTAGAGGACACAATATAAATTAAAAGATAAAACTTTAATTCATATAAACATAACCTAAATCTCATAGGGTAAGAGTAATATACAGTAAATAATAATTCTGTTTGCACACTCCTAGAATTTTTACGTAATCTAGATGGTGACTCTTTATAAAATGGCATCTAAAGAAATCTAAACTAATGCCTTCTTTTTCATGAACAAGGTCCTCTACAGTTAAGTAGAATCCTTGTGTTTCTTCCGCTGGGAAGCAGGCTGATTCATCTTGCCTCCCCCCAACCCTCTCCTAACCCGGAACTCTTAAGCAAAGTTTCAAGTAAAAATAGTTAAGTGGTATTAAATCATTCTTTTCATCTTTTCTATCCTAGACCCTAACTGCACTTTGGTGATAAAGCTACCAGACCACATTATACTTCACTGAAAAGTCATAAAAATAATCACAAGCCATTAAACAGAAGCTTCAAAACATTTTTCATAGAATCCTAAGAAAAGAATACAACATATTAGCTCCATGTTCTGTGTTTGGGAGAATACACAAAAAGAATACATAGATACGACATGAACTTACGTCTAACTATTACTTAGCTTCTAATTCAGGGTGTGTGGCACAATGCAAAAAGAAAAAAGGGGCCAGCTACACTGTATTCCTTCTATCTAGGGGGAAAAAGGACTTGCTGAGTTATCGAAATAAAGATTCTTTCAAAGCCTCTTTTAAAATACTCTCCCACCTTCTTCTAAGAGTGTGCAGGATTCATACTTACACTGAGACGCTTTCCACATAGCCATTAATCTATTTTTCTCAAGTGATTCTCAAAATAATTAATGACTGATGGATTTTAAGATAACATCCTTTAGGAAGATTAGCTAATTAGAGAAGAAAGAATGGTCAAACCATCTAACAAGTATGCTCCTGCAGGAACCATTAAAATAACAATCACCACGCCAGTGATGAAGGTGGCCGAAGCTAACACTTTCTCAGGTCCCTGTCAGAGGCTCTCTAGCTCCATTTTACAAATGATGAAACTGGAGGTTAGAGAAATTAAGTCACTTGCCTGAGGACACAGTTGCCAAGTGTCAGAAGAGAGATCTGAACAAAGGCAAACTCCCTCATTTCAGCTCAACCTAGAAATAACCAAGAACAAAGGCACAGTCGCCCAGGACTGCTGATACAGCTTGAGTGGGGGACAATGATGGATGAAAGTGGAATTTCCACATTTGCTGCATACGGTACTCGTGCCTACAGGATAGACTAGACTAGAATGAACACAGGGTCTAAAATCATCAAACCAAGTGGCGCCTGGGTGGCTCAGTCGGTTGGGCGTCCGACTTCGGCTCAGGTCTGGATCTCACAGTCTGTGAGTTCAAGCCCTGTGTTGGGCTCTGTGCTGACAGTTCAGAGCCTGGAGCCCGCTTCGGATTCTGTGACTCCCTCCCTCTCTGCCCCTCCCCTGCTCATGCTCTGTCTCTGTCTCTCTTTCAAACATAAATAAACATTAAAAAAAAATTAAAATCATCAAGACCTAGATTCCAAAACTGGATCCATCACGGGGAACGCGGTATGACGTCACCGAAGCTGTTACCTCATCTATAAATACAAAGGGCCATCACATCAGCCTCACAGAAGGGTCGAGAGGATGAAATCAGATAACTTGTAAAAGATTTCTAGAATAGTATCTAGCATACAGTAGGTGCTCCATAAATGGCACAACTCGTCCCACCTGATTTCTGTTTTAACAAATTAGAAATACAAGTGAAATCCACAAACACTTATCTATTGGGAAAATTTCATTCTTATGTTTAAATTTGTATAATTATATATAGTTAAATGTGTTAATATGCATCACTATTGTATATGCCCAAACATCTTAACAAGATGGTATTCTGGAGGGCAACTTGACAGTATCTATCAAAAATAAGTATGTGACTATTAAAACTAACATAGACGCATGTACAAAAAAGTTTTTAACATTCCACACCAGACTAGTCCCTCTCTCTAAAGGTAAAACTGTTTCAAATGTGGCACCCAGAAATATCGCAAACACATGTACACATGTGTATCCATATATCCTCTTTGAAATACACCATGCACACACATACATTGAAGCTTACTATGCTTTTATAAACTTCTTTGAAACTTTATGTACCTTAGAGATCTCTCCACACTAGCCCAAATAGATTTTTGTTATCAATCCGCAAGATGCCGTACCTGATAATAATCCCACCAATCCCTTATCCGTTAAATTTGTTAACATACCGGGCTACTAAAACAGTGATTTCTTTCTTGAGCATCAGCAGTAGCCAAAAAATACATGCAGATGCATAATGGTATGTGGACCGAGATGCGAAGGCATTCTTTATAACCGTGAAGAATTAAAAGCAACGGAGACAGGTTAAATTACAGTCAATCCACACTAGGGATTATTATCGGCAGTTAAAAAGACTGCACAGACTATATGACACAGGGTCGGATACAGTTAAGCGGAAAAAGAGCCAGTCTCACCACAGGACATACAGTATAAACTAATGTATAATTTTTTAATTACTTATGTGTGGCTACATGGCTACTGTAGAATGATACACACCAAATTATTGATGACTATTACTTCCCATGAGCAAAGTGGAATAAGGAGGACATGGAGAGAAAGACTTTGACTTTTTACTCCACATATTTCTACTCTGAGGTTTTTACAAGAAGCATGTATTGTATATGGGTTGTATAATTTCCCAAAATGAGGATAAAAACTGTACTAGTCATCTACTGCTGCGTAACAAATTATCACACACTGAAGAGCTTTAAACGACACAGATGTATTTTCTCCTAGTTTCTGTGGGTCAGAAGTACAGACACAGCTGGGCTGGGTCCTCTGCTTAGGGCCATACAGGCTGCCATCATGGTTTGCCCAGAGCTGGGTTCTCATCTGGAGGCTCTACCGGGGAAGGATCCACCCTCCCCGTGCACATGGTTGTTGGCAGCATTCAGTTCCTGAGAGCTAGAGAATTCATGGCAGCCTGGCTCTTCACAGCCAGCAAGGAAAAGACAGCAAGACTCTGAAGTCAGTCTGCTAGCAGGACAGAGCCTTATGTGTCATAATGTAATCATGGAAATGACATCCCATCACCACTGCCATATCCTATGAGAAGCAAGTCACAGGTCCTGCCTGAACTCAAGAGGAAGGGATTATAAGACTGTGAACACCCAGAGGAGGACCATGGAGTTACCCGGAAGTCCGTCAACCGCAAAGGCAATTAAGGTCTCTACCAGATCATAGTGGTAAGTACCCGAAGGATGACCAGGAAGTAGTATCTATGGATACAGCTCATGGTTGTAGAACTAAATGAAATTAGCCCAACTGTACAGGGATGAGATCTAAGTCTGTGGTCTTATCAGTAACATTTTGTAAAACCATGCACCAAACTCAAATTTAGGTAAATTTTTCACTGTCAAGAAAATAAGCAGGGGGCGCCCGGGTGGCTCCATCAGTTAAGCGTCCAACTCTTGATTTCGGCTCAGGTCATGATCTCACATTTCAGGGGATCGAGCCCCACACAGGGCCCTGTGCTGACAGCACGGAGTCTGCTTGGAATTCTCTTCCTCTTTCTCTCTCTCCCCCTCCCCTGCTCATGCTCGCTCTCTCTCTCTCTCTCAAAATAAACTTTAAAAAAATTTTTTAAAAAGAAAAGCAGATATTTGACATTAAAATACAGTAATAGATCTCTAATAAAACAGCAATGCAATTTAAAAAGTGGTTTTTCTAAAAGAAAACACTGGTAATAACATAACCTTCAAACAAGAAAGGTGAAAAAGGAAAGCAAAGAATAAAACCAGGATGGGACTAGCTACGCGTCGAAGCAATCCAATGTGAAATGCTAAGCTTACTAGTGGATGATGTGTCTTTGGGTGGGGGGGGGGGGGGGGAGGAAGCATGAGAGTAAGCACGATAGCATATAACCTCAAACTACTTCTAACGTGTTTAGAACGAAGAACGCCCCGTCTCTTACAGGAAGAATAAAGGTAAAGGGAAGGTGCCACCTCTCCTGAATAGGGAGGGCTAACAAAGAGGCTTCAAAAGGGCCCTGCATCTTTAACAATATGAAAAGGCTAGGACACAAACAGCATAATCTAAAATGCCATTAGAAATACTTCACATACAAAAAGGTCTAAGTAAAGCAGGATTTTATAAAGTGATCAAAAAAGAAACACTAAGGGGGAAAATCTTTTAAGATTAAAGAGGTTTTTCAAAGGACAAGTTGAAGTGCTTGTAAAATTTATGAGGCAGCATTAAACTTCAGTTCTAAGTAACAATAAATTATTCACTATAAAAACATACATGTGTCAAATATTATAAGCCTCTTAAACTTTTTAAAACAATTTCTTGCAGAACTGATGAGATGTACTAGGTCAACAGTAGCAGATACTGACTTTTTCATCGGCACAGTAAGACCATCAGTAGGGCTCTTCCCGCCCCTTCTGAGCTCATCTCACACATCATGTGTTTACTTGGCTTTTAAATCAACTTTATTGCCATTAGCTAAAAGAAATGTCAGTTTTACTCTTTTTAATGCCTTCCTGTTCACAAAATTACAAATATCTGTTAATTCGTGGACCTGTGGCTTCAAATTTTAAGTCCAATTAAAATTTGCAAATAGATGGAATGAAACGAAGAGAACAATAGAAGAAAAGACAGTCTGAGAGCTTTTGTTTTGGCAGCACTAAATGGCTGTCAAATAGCCTTGGAGATATTTGGACACTTGACCAAAAAGATAGTTCATTCAGTCTGTCTTTCCCAGCTCACTGTCTTTGGATCACTCATGGTGTGTGAAGGGCATCTCTATAGCCTGTATCCACACCTCTCTTAACTTCTAAAATGGATCCTTTCCTCAACTTGTCCTAAAAGATTTTTTTTTTTTAATCCTTGTGGGCCATCCTCTCTGTCACAATCTACCTGTCTCCAAAGGTTTTTGTACAGATTAAATTAAGTAAGTGGCCCAGGCTGACACAACACAGTCACTCATGCATGTAAGCACTTATCAAATATAAATACTTACGTGGTTCCCAAGAGGTCCCCGCCCGGTGCGAGACACTGGAAACACAGTGCAAATAGCGAAAGCACAGTCCCTGTCTCCTGACATTTACAGTCTAGCACGGAGAACAGAAACAGAAGACTTTGCACGTCACGAACAAGGAAACACAGAGTCACTTAAATAGACCTGGGGTGTCAGGCAAGATTTTTTCGAATTGTGAGATCTGAAGCGTTGAGTAGGACCAAAGAACTACCTGCTTTTCCCATTAATTACTTATTATATAACTGATAACTAACGCCTCATACTTGAATAATTTGCATCAAATGCTATTTTATTATAGGTGAGCAACAAAGAAAAAGAAGTTATTTGTTAAAATTGGGGAGATTTGGGGGCGCCCAGGTGGCTCAGTCAGTTAAGCATCTGACTCTTCATTTCAGCTTAGGTCATGATCTCACCGCCATGAGATCAAGCCCCGTACTGGGCTCTCCACTGAGCGTGGGGCATGCTTGGGACTCCCCCTCTCCCTCTCCTGTCCCTCCTTGCACCCTCTCTCCCTGTCTCTCAAAAATAAATACATAAGTAAACAAATAAATAAATACAAATAGGTAAAATTTTTAAAAATGTTTTTAATTACGGAGATTTCACTAGGGTATCATTTTCCAGAAAAGTCACAGGGTAATATCTGAAGAATATTCTCACTGAATTTTCTTAAACGTTATCCTCTGTTCCGAGAAAGAAAAGTCCATTACTTGGATTTCCTGAGATCTCAAGTCTGTTTTCTACCCTAAGCCTCAATTTAACACACACCTCAATCTTCACGAATATCCCCACAACTACACATAACCACTACAAGGAAATTAATCCGTGCACCTAATGCTCTTCCCTGTTTATCTAAAACAACATCAGAAAGCGAATTTCTGCAGGATCTGGGTCACAAACAAGTGATTATGCTGCCAGACGTAGGGACATTCTTCACTTCTACAAAGATGTGGTCTCCCTCCTCTTTTTGAGTTTTCGGACCCCTCTTCGTCTACTTTTCTTTTTTCCACTTGTGATAAGATGCAAAAGCGTTAAAAGAAATACTTCTTCCACCTCTCGACCCTACTTAAAAGGGGAGAAAAAGTTCATAGTCAAACAGAGATGCGACTGATCTCAAAGTCAGTGCCAAAAATGAGCAGCGAATAGCGAAGGCATTTACTGGGGCAGTAACCAAGTGTCACGTGACTCCCACGTGTGACTGGCTTCTGGAAAGACGACTGAGTCTCTAGTTTTTTAAGGAGCCCAGAAAGTCAGGTTTTTGTTTAAGTTTTGGTTTCTTTTAATGTATTTAAGTAATCTCTATACCCAACATGGGGCTCAAACTCATAACCCTGACATCAAGAGTCACATTCTCTTCTGACTTAGTCAACCAGGCACCCCCAGAAAATTATGTTTTTATGTAAAACTCCCAATTGTTCAATCTGAATAACTCGTTCAAAAATCCTTAAAGACACTACAGAAGTCAAACAAAACAAATCTATGCACGTGATTCATTCGGTCCACGAAGATCGTCAGTTTCCAACCTCTGGTCTCAGCTCCAAGATATGGGAAACTACTTTAGTTCACCTTTATACTGTAAACTCCATATGCATTATACCTAGAAGGAACGCAGCTTTCGGGTGGACGCGCAAGAAACGTTTTGGCAAACACCCGATGGATTTTTCAGCCAAACCGAGAACTGTGTTTTCCTTTGCATGCAGACCACATTCTCTTCACACCTCCGTTGATCTGCCATAAGGCTAACGAAAATTCCACAGTAACACCTCCTCTACTTTTAAATCTCCTACGACTGCTAAGACCAAGAACTGCACACCGTGTGCCAGGGACTCATCTAGTCACCTCTTTTTAATCTTCTGAATGCACCCCGAATTCTATCACCCCTTCCTTTTTCGCCTCTCCATTTTATGTCCCCTTTCTAACCAAAACATTTCACAGGGACTGGATCTCTCACATTGTGTTCGTCCGTTCTTTTCCACCAGAGTGCCTGAGGCCTGAAAAACATCAATCGCGCTGCGTCAACCACGAAGACATTTCACATCACTAATAGCATTTCTCCATCTGATTGAGGAATAAACCAAACAAAATTACGGCACAAAAGAGAGATGACACTGGTAACCAAACCAAATTCCAAAAAATGAAAACTACCAAGAGAATGCTGAGGATGAAGTATAAAGTATGATCCATGTCAACTGCCACCGTACAACATTTTGACGTTTCGGAAAACAGTGCCAAAGGTAAAATTCAAAATTTGCTAAAAGCCCAGTGTAAATCTATCCCCCGTAAGGGCCAAAAGTTATCCTACAACAATAATCTACTTTTTGTGTATTTGCAAAACTTAGAAGTTTATCTTTCTTTGCGCTAAAAATCCTTAAGCTTAGTACTCTAGTGGGAAAGCACAGTTGAATGGGGTTTACCTTTAAGTCATTATTAAACCAAAACAAATACTGCTCAATACGGAAAAAGAAAAGAAATTCAAGTATAAGCTTCGAAATGAATATGCAGGATGTTATATTTTGTTCAAGTCACTGATAATGTTCTTAATTCAGGCTTGTCATGAAGGAACACAGAGAATTAAATTATTTAGAGATTCTCAGGCACTACTTTCCAAGTATTGGCATATATACATATATAAATACATGTACATATATTTAACGGATACCCAGAAGGGGCTAAATATGCAATGGGAATCTTGAATATATGATGAAAGTTAAATTGTTTTACCTACCCAACATCCCTTCACAGCCCTCAACTTTAACAAAATTATAAACTAAACCAACTACTTACCATAAAAATGAAAAAAATGAAAAACACCACCAGGAGAAACAATATATGAAGTTGTGAAGGTAAGCTAAATGATGAATCCCATTTGAATCCTATTTTCATAGCATACCTGTGCACATCAGTCGGCGACTGCACCAAAGAGCAATCTTCTCCAGAAGAAAGCTTCCACGATTCATTTAATTTGTGGTCACTGGTTCCCAGCTCACCCATTACCCAGTCTGGTAATCCTTCCGGGCTTGAAACTTTTGCTTGTGCTGGATTTGGTTCATCAAAATAGATGGACTGATTTTTAAAAATTAGAAAAATTATTCTTTCAAAATGTACTATAATGAAATAATTACTTAAGATGTCCATCAAGTTTCAAGTTTGGTAATAACTTTTCAAATACTCAAATTCAATTATCAGAAAGGCACAATGAATTATAAAATATTAGAATACATAAAACGGATAACATTTTACATTTTAGTTATGTTTTGGTGTATAAGAAATCTGATAAATGATAAAAATTACATGACAAGTAAGTCTAATAATTATTTGTGCTGCAAAAAAATACAGCTTTATAAAAAGGTAAATGGACCACAATGATCTCACACATATGTGGAATTTAAGAAACAAAACAAAGAAAAAAGGAACCAAACGAACAAACCAGACTCTCTCTCCACTCTGGAGAGCAAACTAGTAGTTACCAGGGGGGAGGTGTGTGGGGAGATGGGGAAATAGGTGAAGGGATTAAGAGTACGCTCGTCTGGATGAGCACTGTGCGATGTACGGAAGTGTGCAATCATTATATTGTACACCTGAAACTAATATAACACTGTGCATTAACTACACCGGAATTAAAATTAAAAATAACCATAATAATAAAATGCATGTAGGAGTGACATGTTTGGAAACTTACAGCACAAAGAATGGAAAGAGGAAATCCTGTAAAGTTCTTCCATAATCCATAAATTGGTATATTTTGGAAGGTAAACTGCCACAAATTAAAGATGTAAATCGTAAGCCCTAAGGGAGCTACTAAAAAGGAGACACGAAGCTAATAAACTGATAGTGGAGATAAAATGGAATATTAGAAATGCCCGATTAAAAAAAAAAAAAAAAAAAGAGCAATGGAATGTTCTTTTTAAAATCATGTACTCTATTTCTTTGTGTGATCAGTAATTACTCTTCACACACACACAAAATCAGTGGGCAGAGAACCCACAATCGATAAAAATCAAAAACAAAAATTAGGCTAGACAATTAAGCTAAAGGAGGAGCAACAGAGGTGTTGCTAGACTTGTAATTTAGTTCTGGCCAAGCCATAAACTAACTAGAAAATCCAACACGGGTCTTCTGGACCTTCTTGTTGTTATTATCTGTGAAGTAAAGCCTTTCCGATGATTCTATGAAATGAGTATAATGCAATATACTGGTATCTTAACATCTGAACACGTTTCAGAAAACATTCCCCCTTGGGTCTTTAAGAAGAGGACATTCGCCCACTAATAGTTTTTCAAGCAGTGTGGGCTTCTTGATACCCTTCTGAAGAAAACTCTGCATTAACTGGATACTTCTCCAACAATTCTCTGAATCCCACACAAAGAATCCTCGAGAGGGTGTTCTCTGGGAGAGGTGACACACGACCCTCTATCCCAAGTCAGACATGCGCAGCAGTTTTATGAGGCAGTCACTGCAACGTTCAAATATCACGTAACTACCATCGCCAAGACTACTGATCTGAAGCAAAATATATGGCTCTACTTTAACGTACAATTCGTAACAGCATCAAAACTTTTGGCATCTTGGGGGACAAAACATAAAAGACTCTTAAATATAGAGAACAAACAGGGTTGCTGAAGCGGTTGTGGGAGGAAGGATGGGCTAAATGGGTAAGGCGCATTAAGGAATGTACTCCTGAAATCACTGTTGCACCATATGCTAACTAACAATAAATTAAACAATAAGTAAATTAAAAAAAAAAAAAAAAAAAAATGACCTTGAAATTAAAAAAAAAAAAACTTTTGGCATCTCTAACCTGGATAACAGAAATTATCATTTAGTGTGCAATGTGCCTCTTGACTGCAAATGGGTTTAAGTTAACCAGAGTTAACTCACAAAGTTAGCTTTTTTAAAAATATATATATATATTTATATTTATATAGTATAGTATAATATTATGATACTATACTAATATAGTATGTGTGCGTATGTGTGTGTGTGTGTGTATATATATATATGTACATATATACACATACATACATAAAACAGTCCACTACCAATACCTAGTACTCCAGATTTCTCAAGTATTCATCAAACACCACACAAACCAAGGCATATTTCATGGTTACAAGGATCAAGACAGTGACAATTAACCAATGAAACATAATTATAACTGCCTTTCTAATAGCTGATTTTGACAGTGAAATTGAACAAAGTATAAACTCCCAACTTCCTGTCATCATTTTATTAGAGAAGAAAGGAACTTTAGAAGTCACTCAATCCAACCTCTCATGAATTTTTTAATAATGTGTGTGAAAGAGTTTCATAAACTAGAATTTACTAATACACATAAATGATGGTTAATGTAATCCAGCAAAAACTAATGGGAAATTAAGGCTCAATACAAAAAAATTCACTGTGAGTTTTTTAGAAATACTGCAGAATACTGTGGGATGGCTCCATCAATAAGCATAGTCCCCTTAAGGCCAAATCTGACTTCTATTCAAAGTAGTAAAAAGTAAATTAGGAAGGAAAAAGAACAGTTTTAACTAATGTATTATCTAGGACTTGTAACTCAATAATATAACCAATCCCAAAGGGGATGATGAATTGACACTTTTAAAGAAATGGAACTCATACATCTTCCGGTCAGTGACACCTACCATGTAGGAAGGTAAGGTTTTCAGCGTGCCTGGTTCCGGTCGGTGTGTAAAGGGGCCTTCGAGAGCTCCTCGCTTAAGCATATGCAGTAACAGTTTGGCATACAGGTTCCGATTCTTCCTGCCCATTAGTCCTGCACCTGTTCCTGAAGGCTCACACAGCTTTCTGATCCAAAGCGCACACCTCTGTCGTTCTAGAGATACGTAAGAACTATTAAAAACTGGATTTTTCAGGGACTCGGGTGGCTCAGTCAGTTGAGCATTCGACTTCAGCTCGCGGTTCGTGATCTCACGGTTCATGGGTTCGAGCCCCACATTGGGTTCTGTCCTGACAGCTAAGAGCCTGGAGCCTGCTTCGGATTGTGTCTCCCTCTCTCTCTGCACACCGCCCCCGCCATGCCCCCGCTCACACTCTCTCTCTCTCTCGCGCTCAAAAATAAACAAACATAAAAAAAAAAAAGAAGCTGGATTTTTCAGAAAATAAAACGTTAAAGACCTACAAAACACCTACTCTGGTCTAGAGCAGAGACTGGCATACTTTTTCTGTCAAGTGCCAGATAGTGCTCATTTTAGTCTGATCTCTGGCACACCTGCTCGGCTCTGCCACCATAACATGAAAGCAGCCGCACACCATATGGAATCAAATGGGCATCAGTATTTTCTAAGAAAACTTTACAGAACAGGTAGCGGGCTAGATTTGGCCCTGGGAGGCTACAGTTAGCCAACACCCTGGTCTACGGTTTATCTTTTTCAGTTCATTAGTGATCAGGTAAGACAAATGCAAAGAAGTACTTTCTAAAAAATAAAATCTCTGGATCACTACCAGATAAAGAAGAGATAAAGTAATATTAAAAGAGATAAAATTTTACTATAAACACATCTCTAAGATAATCTGTTGGTTTGAAAAAATCTTCCTATGATTCCAATTATATAAACCAAAAGAGATATTAAATGCAATCTTATGTAAGCATTTTAAACTTAATCTAAAATTAGATCTTGGGCACCTGGGTGGCTCAGTCAGTTGAGCATCTGACTCTTGACTTTGGCTCAGGTCAAAGTCAAAGAGAGAGATTCTTTCTCTCTCTCTCTCTCTCTTTGCCCCTCTCCCCGGCTCGTGCTCTCTCTCTCTCTCCCTTTCTAAAAAACAATAACAAAAAATAAAATTAGATTCCAAATGTTTTCTTTATTAAAGCTGATAAATTTCAGATTTAGAGTTGATTAGTTTAGAGTTTTCTTTTAATCCCTCTAAAAATAATTGAGGGCTATTAACATGTAATTTAGCAAATGTAATTATCCTTTTAAAAACTACCTTAAAAATACAGCACCGTTTAATCCACCATATAACCTATTGACTACTTTATCTGAACGTGACACAGAATTGTTTTTAGGTCTCATGAAAGCTATTTTGACATTAATCTTTTATCAGTCTAATTCAACCTGAGGATTATAT